TATATATATATATATATGCTGAATAAGTCAAAGCTTAATGTCCATAGAAGCCAACAAGTATAAAATGTAGAGCCATATCCTGTTTCTTTGGCAAAATAAGGTAACATGGCTCCTATTCATTTCTGAGACCTTGCTTCGTGAGCCAGTTTGGTGTAATGGTTAGGAGCGCAGACTCTAATCTGGGAGAACCGGATTTGATTCCCCACTCCTCCACATGCAGCTGCTGGTGTGACCTTGGGTCAGTCATAAGTTCTTTCAGAGCTGTTCTCTCAAGGGCAGTTCTAGAAAGAGCTGTCTTAGCCCCACCTACCTCACAGGGTGTCTGTTGTGGGGAGGGGAAGGGGAAGAGATTGTAAGCAGCTCTGAGACTCCTTCGAGTTTGAAGGGTGGGGTATAAATCCAATCCTCCTCTTCTTTGTTCTTGCGATTTTTCCCCCCTCATTCCTTATTGTAAAATTACTATCCTGGAAATATCTTCTTGAATACTCTGGATTTAAAAGGATGAGTTTAAGTATATGTTTGGGGGTAGGAACGGAAAATATATGGGGTTAGGCATGTTCAATTTTTAATGTTTTTTATGGATGAGCTGGAAGTGTGGATGGGTTGGGGAGGGTGGGAAGCAATTGTAATAATAAGAGGGTTTTCCCCGGGGGGGGGGGAAATCCCTTGCATTTTTTAAGGAATGTTCAGAATGATACTTGATGTTTACACTGGGTTTTGCGGAGTGGTGTTAACCTTACTTAATGCCAAAAATACTATTAATCTGCACCAGGTGGGGGCAAATAAAGCTATACGCATGGTTCTGTTATAAGACTATAGAAGTAATATCCTAATAACTGCAGAGGCTCTAAATGCATTTATATGGAGGATTTACCGCTAGGTTTGAAAAAATCAAAAGCAACTTCTTGCTAAACTGATGCACGTGATTGCTTTTTAAAAAAACAAGGAAGTGCCAATGCAAACCTTTTATCTAAATGAAATGTTAATGCCAAAGAGCACGACTGCTTGCACACACAGTTGATATACTTCTCACAGTTCACGCAACGGCCATTGAGGGCAGTTGTAAAGTGTCAAATGTAAATAGCTCTCAAACTGTTAGCACAATTACATGCAATATGAAGTCCTCTGTTTCTATGCAGGTTGCACAAGATTCTCTCTATGTTTTTATTATTATTATTTTAAAGCCAAGTGCTGCAGTTTCTGTCATGAGCTAAAACATGTCTTGAAGGTTTAGAAGATCTGAACATGTATGCTGTTCTGCAGAAACCAAAATAAATTCAAATTATTTAACACAGGTCTGTGTATTATATCTTCCAGGGTCTGCAGTTCCTTGGTCCACATGCAGAGAGGAAAGGGGGTGAAACAATTCCCGGAGTGGGGGGGTGTCTGTTGGAAATTTCCCATGTCTAATGATACCACCAATATACTGATTAGGCTCAGACCGTATTGTTGTTCTGAGAACAGCACAAACAGTTTCTAATTGAAGATCTGGAGCGCAACTTGGAATGTGCATAGTAATAATATACCACCCATATTTCCTGCCTTTGGACCTAGCCCACTGCTGTATCCATGAGCTGAAACTGCTACTGGATACTGCCTGAAAGCAAGCAGTGTTCCTTTTTGCTGGATCACAATGCTGCAAAGAAGCCATAAAGCATACTGCTGGAGAATGTGATGAGACACTGTAGGCAGCAAGGTAATTCTCAATAGACTGAGGACCTTCCATGTTTCACTAGGAGCATCCAGCAGCTTTTCCTTTGCCCTGGGTTTTCACATGTGGTTGTGTTCATGCTTTTACTGCCAGTAGCCTGTATGCCAGAAGTCCTGGGGGCTCCTAGGTAAGTGCAAGAGAACTTCCTTTTATTCATCTGAATTATCTGGATGTATTGGGCATGCACAGCACATGTGAAAAATATACAATGCTGATTCTGTGAATTTAGGCAGATCATGAGAGGGAGAGCAGGAAGGGATGAGCCAGTGCTTGGCTCTTGTGGTCCTTTCTTATATGCCCAGGATAATGCCAATCAACACTTTGGGGCCAGGAAGGAATTTTTCTCCAGAACAGATTGGTCCAGAGATCCTGGAGGTATTTTGCCTTCCTCTGGGTCACTGGAGGAGTGGAGGGGTAGTTATGAATTTCCTGCATTGTGCAGTGGGTTGGACTAGATGACCCTCGAGGACCCTTCCAGTTCTGTGTTTCTGTGGTACATGACTAGAAGGCGGGGCCACGCCATTTGAGGGGAAAACAAAGAGTTTTCCCCTCAAATGGCTGCCGTTTGAGGGGAAAACTCTTTGTTTTCCCCTCAAATGGCGTGGCCCCGCCCCAGCGTCTGACGTCACTTCTGGTGATGTTCTGGCGGCGCGCGCGCGCATCCCAGACCAGCTCCCGGACCTACAGGACTCTCCCCCGCCGGTAGGAATTTTCGAGTTGGCAACCCTACTAGAATGCCAGTCTTCAGGTAGATCTCCCAGAATTACAACAAATCTCCAGATGACACAGATAATTTCCCTTGAAGAAAATGGCTGCTTTGGAGGGTGGACTATATGGTATTATACCTAGTGAGGTCCCTCCCCTCCCCAGGCTCCAGCCCAAATCTCCAGGGATTCCCCAACCCAGAGGTGGCAACCCTGTACACGGGTAGGGCCTACGTGGAGAGGGGCGGTAGCTCAGTGCTGGAGCATCTGCTTGACACACAGAAAGCCCCAGGTTCGGTCCCCAGCATCTCCAGTTAAAACCGGGTTTGATTCCCCACTCCTCCACTTGCACCTGGCTGGATGGCCTTGGGCAAGCCATAGTTCTGACAAGAGCTGTTCTTGAAAAAAGAGCAGCTTCTGTCAGAGCTCTCTCAGCCCCACCTACCTCACAGGGTGTCTGTTGTGGGGAGGGGAAGGGAAAGGAGTTTGTAAGCCGCTCTGAGACACCTTTGGGTAGTGAAGGGCGGGGTATAAATCCAATCTCTTCTTCTAAAAGGATTTCGCAGAAGGTAATGTGAAGGACCTCTATCATAGATCTGGAAGAGCTGCTGTGAGTCTGCATATGCAGTACTGACCTTGATGGACCAATGGTCCGATTCAGTATACAGCCGCTTTGTACGTGTGTTCATGTGTGTGTGTACGAGAACACATGGCACAAACAGGTTTTAAATGTGATTTCTTATCACAAGATGACTCAGTGCTGGTTGAGTAGCGGTTGGATGTCTGAACCAGCTTGATTGGGAAACTCTGCACCTGCAGTGATATGAGAGCTCTGCGTGGTTGTTTGAATTGCAAAGGCTGATTTACATATACAAGTGACAACTTGATGCCCGAGTTAGAAAATGGTGAGCAAACAGATGGCAGACTGCTGAAAGGCAGTGCAGTAATACAGCATTGTTTGCTAGTTCAGTAATATGACATTGTTCCGCTCTGCTTCAGAAGAATGTACAGCAGATTTATTTCAGGAAAGCTGAAGTGCAATTCCAGTATTTTTAAGGAATTGTTAATATTCTCAGTTGGGTCCTCACCATGGCTGATATCACTTGGCATCACAAGCCCTAGGCCTGCTGAAGATCATCTTTCTCTTGGTCCACCCAGGAAGTCAAAACCCTGATTTCACCTCTTTATAGGTTGGGAGCTGACTTGCACAGTGACCCAAGGCAGGCTGAGGACCATCTTTTCCTGCCAGACAGTTTAGCATCGCATAAGTCTTTGGCATGATGTTCTAGGGGGAAGTCTCCCAAGCAGTAGGCTCAACTGTCCAATATTTATTTATTTATTTATTTATTTATTTAAAACATTTGTTTGCTGCCTTACAAACCAATTTAGGGCCTCAAGGCGGCGAACAATCCCAAACATGGTTTAAAACAGATAAATATATACACACAATATTTCAAATAATTAAATAAAACATACAAATGCACAAATGAGGAGGGCCAATGACAGCTAGCGGGGAAATGCCAAACAAAACAAAAAATCCTCACCCACTGGCTGAAGGCAACAATGAAGACAGATGAATCTCTCTGAGGAAGGTATTCCAGACTTTTGGGACCATGAGTCGACCGACGAGGACCTTTTTAGGTTGTTACCTGTCTAGCCTCAGATGCTGGGGGCACCCAAAGCAGGGTCTCTGAAGGTGACTAGAAGAAGAGTTTGGATTCATACCCCGCCCTTCACTACCTGAAGATGTCTCAGAGTGGCTTACAAACTCCTTTCCCTTCCCCTCCCCACAACAGACACCCTGTGAGGTAGGTGGGGCTGAGAGAGCTCTTGACAGAAACTGCTCTTTTTCAAGAACAGCTCTTATCAGAACTACGGCTTGCCCAAGGTCATCCAGCCAGGTGCAAGTGGAGGAGTCTATCCCAGATTAGAGTCCGCACACTTAACCACTACACCAATCTGGCTCTCTGGTCAGGCAGGTTCATATGGGAGTTAGGAGGTCTTAAAAGTATGCTGGCCCCAAACTGTGTAGAGCTTTAAAAGTTGATACTAGCATCTTGAATTGGGTCCAGAAGGAAATTTGGAGATGGTAAAGGTGGAGCAAGACTGGAGTGATATGGTATGGTAGTTATCTCATTGGAAATTAGGCAACAGCCAGTGACTAAATATTTGTCAAGTACAAGGGTTACATTGTTGCATTTGGTTCAAGCTTGTTAAAGTGGAGTCTTCACCTTTACCTTGTATTGCCACCTGTTTAAACACACTCCCTCCAGCACTTGACCCCTCCCTGAGGCACACCAACCCCTCCTTTCCTGCAAAGATCTTGATTTAGATTTTCTCAGGCAACCTAATGAATGGAGAAAGAAGTTCAA